TAGGAATCTCCTGCAGAGGAAACACCCCTACTGTTTCACATACAACCGATCAGCGGCTCTATAGCCGCCGATCGGTTGTATGGTGTGAATTTCGTAGACACCAGTTGCCCCCCCTTGCCTACTCTGTAGAAAGATTGGATTTAGAAATACATTACCATATTGATGAGATCTACATCAATCAGATCTATATTTCTTAAACAATTCAAAGACTATGCTTTTTAAAAAATATTTAAAAATAAAGATCTTATGTAGCATTGCTCACGCACACACTTTGATTTCAGAGCCATGAATGAAACTAGTCCAGTTACATGGGTAAGCAACTGTGTATAAGCACTAAAGAATGCACATTAAAAAGGCAGGTATATAATTTAAGGGCACAATGGAGCATATGCGCCACTACAAAAACACCATAACTAATCTTCCCAAGGAAAGAGCTGTATTACACACATTAGGTAAATGCAGCACAAGTGCTGTCTTACAGAACTAGGACTTCATAGCACAACCTTTCCCCACTGGATCTTTAATTTTACATTCTAAAAGAATCCAAACAAGGAGGAATGCCAATATGTGAAAGGTAGGCTGGCTCAAATCTGGAATCCTGACAGGGAGCTCTTGCCACTGGAGCCCAAAGGATATATAAAAATCCAGTAAATTAAATATTCAGGGTTGGGTCAACACTTTAATGGGTGGTGCTGGCTTGCCATCATCACATTATCTTAATATTCCTCAGGTTTCAGTTTTGTGTTGTAGGTTAAAGTGGAAGCACATGTCCAAGTGCTATGGGCAGCAGTTCTGATCGATCCTAGTTATTGGCTTGAGCTCAAAAACTGCATTTAAGGAATACTATACTTTCCCTCCAAACAATGTAGGAAAGTATTCACCTTGAGCATTTCTATTCCCAAAAATTATGGTTGCAAACGGGACATTTAAAACTAAACTCTGGGATCAAAAAATTTCACATACATAGATTCCTTAATAAGCACCAAGGATATAAATCCCTTTTTGTGTGAACCAAATGCCTTTGCAGACCCGGATAATACCTTTTAAATGTGGGACACAGAAGTTCCCACCCATTACAGGCTACCTGCAGAAAACTAGACGTGGTGTCGCGCAGATACAAGTCACGCTGCAAAAAGAAAATGCAATAGTGACTGGTCTTTACTACAGGAAGCCCCTGCAAAGAGGCAAAGATCCATGAAGAATTAATGCACAGATCTGGAAGAAACACACAAAGCATGCCAAGATTCAAGAATACACGTCTCTTAATTGGCATTCAGCTTTAAACCACACTTATCACACGCAAAACACAGCAGTCTAAGAACACAAGCACACCAACATCCCATGAGCAGAAATCTGCCCAGACTAAAAGCAGACCGAAATCTAACTACAAATGATCCTTCGTTATATAGAGCATTTTCAAAATTAGTTTAAAATATATATATAAAATCTCATAAATGTAAAAATTAATTTAAAAAAAAAAAAAAACTGTGTGTGTGAACTGGCTTTTTTAAATATACTTTTTTATTTTGTATATATTTTCATATACATGTTTCAGCTTTATTCAGCTAAGACCACAACAAAACACTGGAAACTGGAGTAAAGAGAACTTGGGACATTCTTGGCCCTGTAAACAGATTGAGCACTAAAATACACCAGTAAAAGTCAAAGTTTGGGGATACACCTTTCCAATAAAACACCCACACAGTGACAAGAATGAGACTTTAATTGGTTTTAAGTGGAGTTTATAACACTAAGATAAAAGGGATGTTAACACATACAATAACAAATGGACATGTGAATTTGTATGAGGCATTATCCTGTACATGTAATTTGTTGTATATTCTCAGTGCATAGCATTACACACAGAGCCACTTTAGACTACAATTCCTTAGAGAATAATTGAGACAATTAAGTACTAGATAAAAAGGATATATGTCCACGTCCGCATCATTGGTGACTCCCTAAGTTAGTGCAATCAGTTTGTCCATGCCAAGTCTTCACTCCTGGCAATGTCAGTAAGGCAACAAATGAGCTAAACCATTGTTAAATCATGAGGCCATATAGAATGTCCAAAAAATTCCCAGAGTGGATAATTTACCCTTTGGAGGATGAAGTGCCACCTGGACATCACTATATGCTGTTGTGATAGCACAAATTCTTTCAGAGTTAAGTTAAGGAGACCTCTGGAATTCTGTCTACGCTTGGTTTTACGGTTTGTAAGCCCTCATGTTTGCAAAGTGCTTTAAAAATCATTAGGCAGCTGTGTTGCAAAACATCCTGGAGAGCATATCTAGTGCATATCAAACTGAGTTTTCAAATTGAATTGTGCTTAGTCTTGATGTGATCCACCGCCACTAACTCAGAATTGTCGTTTGCCATAATGTGCCAAGATACAGACTTGGGGAGGGGAACAGACCTCACATATAAAAATAGAAGGGAAAGGCAGACGTATGGTCTATAGCAAATAATTTGATAATGGCTTTCACTTTCTAGTGACCTCCCGGCCCCCAAAATAAAAAAAAATATACAGCAAGGATCTAGTAACTACGGGCAAGGCGGTTTCTCCTCACAATTTTTATGCAAGAAGCCCACTCATAATATAGTGCAGCCGAGTCCCATTATTCAAGTAACATTCTGGTTGGTAGACAAGCGATAGCCTTAAGGGATACAACAACACTGTTGAAAATGTGTCAGCCTATTATATCTGAACAAGGGGGATACACATCTTAAGATAGAAACTGAAGCTGCCAAAAGTCCCCATTTTATTTGTAAATGAAGACTGCATATGGTATCAAGTATAATAAACACACATACTATAACCACAAACTGGAAAGCTTAAATGCTGCATTGAAGGGAGGAGAAATCACTGAGAAAAATGACCACTTGGGAAGGGACGCATATTAAAAGAAAAAAGTTGTATATATAAAAGTGTGCATTTGTAAAACACACAGATTCCACCGACATACTAAAGGCAGAGATGTGAAAAAAAGCTGCAGCCAAGGTCACCCACACAGCAAACCCAGTCTGTCCATCCAAGGAAAAAACTGGAATTTGAAACGGTCGTAGGCCACAAACAAGTGCTTGGTCTCGTCTTTATAAATCAAAGTGGAACAAGAGGCTCCTGGTTCTAGAGTAGACCCTCATTTCTATGCACATGAAAGGTTGAAAACTCAGCCCTCCATCCTTAGAACTATATTCTGATAGTCATGAATAACGCTGGTTTCTTAATCTAAATGGGGGAAAAAAAAAATCCTTCCCGATATTTCATTTTGAATTACAGCTTACGGTAAGTAGGTCATAGTATAAATAAACTATATCAAATGGGATTTTACACTGTCATGAAATGTAATTTCACAAAATAAATTTGTAGCATTTGAACTGGAGCTTGAAAGTGTGAGACTGAAAATTGATTTGAAAAAAAAAATGTTTAATTTTTTCATGCAGTTTGGGGGGGGGGGGGGGAAAAAAGCCGCATTAAAAGTGGAATTCCGGACCACAATACCTGTGATGAGTGGCACTGCCAGTTCAAAGACCTAATATTGTAATAGATAGATAGCAATCAAACTACATCGAGTATCTGGGACTTAAATTTGATATATACCATCTTATATCTGTGCAGTGTTGAAACTTTTAAAGCAACACTGTCTTCATAACCATGTGTAATGTAAATAAAAACAAAAAAAAACAAATATATATCTATATAAAAAAAAAGACATTGAAGCTACTAAACATTCTTCAAGTAAAATTCCCTAACAGTTAATGACATAAAAAGTGTGCAAAACTGCAAAACTCATTGTAATAGAATGTGTACGATCAAAAAGGGTGGATTTGCCGACAGCTATGCAATTAAATAAATGCATGACTCTTTGTATAGATCTGTTAGAACTGAACGTGGATATTTTCTGTGCACTGTTAAAATAGTTCAGATTTGATTGGGGAGGGGGGACGACACATAGCAGAAACTTGCAGGCAGCACTTGAAGCATTCACAGCAGTTATATGACTGGAAAAAAAAAAAGAATGCAATAATTCGATCTTTAGGATTAACCATTATGAGCCAAAGTCGTCTTTAAGCATACCGGAGCTGATGTATAAAAACTGGAAAATCACATGGATGTGTGTCCACAACAACTAAATGCTTGCCATCATTTTCAAAGTGGCATTAGAAAAATTATAGCTGGAATTTGGCTACTACGGCCAACACCTCCACTGGCAATAGCGTTCATAAAAGGAGCTTGAAAGTTCTTTGAAAGAATCCTCTGGCGTGCACATGGTTAAAATTTACAGGAAATTATAAAAATGGGATGGAACCATCATTGCAACTGATAGGAGGAAAGGATGCAGAATTGCAGAAACTAAAATCATGACTAGTTTACTTCTTCGAAATAAAATTGGTAAAATGTCCCCATGGGCAGCTAAGCTTAAACATTGGTTTAGGAGGACATTTGAGACCCTGCTAACTTGTGGGAGATCTTCACCTGTGGGCCCTCTCGTGATGGTCTGGATGGTTCAATCCTGTACCTCTATAAAGAACCGCTCCCTACAGCTGCCTTTTCTAGCACCATTATGCAAAATAAAATTTAAATTAAAAAAAATGCACAAACAAAAGCAGCGACAGTGGACAATTCCTTATATGTTCAGGATTACCGCAGCACGCAAAACAAAGAGAAAAGGAGCATGTAAAAAGCTTGAGATGGTACATGAATCCAGCTGGTAAGAGATTCAGCTTTAAATATGAGACTCTCCACCGCATTTAATACACATAAGTACATGGAAATAACCCTTGAACATTCCATAGCCAATTGAAAAAATATTAACTGTTGCCAAACTGGCTGCGAAGAGGCAGGAGGTGAACGTAGTATTTCACAAAAGCACATTATAAACTTCACTTGGTGACAAAACAAAAAAAAGAAAAAAGGGGGGGGGTCCTATGTGTACACAGCTCCACTTTTGGGAAGGGGGGGGGGATTAAACAGAAAACAAACATAAAAAAAACTGGAATAAAATGGGAAAGTGCCATCTTTATTTATCCTAATTAAGATTTAAATGTCCTTTTGACACGAAAAGGATATTTACATAACATTGTTACGTAAGCTTTTCTTCTTTTTTTTGTACTTTGCTTTTTCCTCTTTTTTTTTCTCTCCCTTTTCCTCATTCCATTGGACAACAGTGCCAAAACCCTGCTGGGCAAAAAATATTGGTCAAGGAAAAAAAAAATAATAACATTGCTCCTATAACTGGTAGTCTGACAAGGCAATTTGCCATTTAAAAAGGTCCTTTATCAGTTTATTCAAGTTTGTCTTTCTGTGGTTTTAATTCCCTCGATTAAAAAAAAAACAAAAACAAAAAAACAATTTCAGACTTTTGTAATCTGTGTAATCTGATCTTCATCAAAAGGTTCATTCTCTGGGTCAGAGTCAGTGGTGTCAGAGTATCGATAATGATCAGGTTCATTGTCACTAACATCCGGTGTTACTGAAGTTGAGCTGCTTGCTTCTGAATTTGAAGATTCTTCTACGGTTTTAGTGAAAAATAGCTTTACCTAAAGACCAAGACAAAGCAGAATCAACACATGAAGCAAATGAACAGTTTATCAGCATTAACAAATATCAGGGAAGCAAACTTGTCATTTCTGCACTTAAACTGTATTTAAAGCAACAATCCTTCAGGGTTTTTTTGTTTTGTTTTGTTCTTCTTTATGGGGTCCAGACTTGCTAAAAAAAACAAAAAAAAACTTTTTCTTTCAATGTCCTCGTTTTCTAGTGGTATCTAGACCGCTAGCGCCACTCCCCCTGTACGGATGCCTCAATCAGCTAGCCGACTGCTGTGAAGGCACCCGCAAGTGCACAGTAAAGGCCGTGCGTGCCCGCACCTAGCTGTGTGCGTCCATAGACCCACATAGCGTGCAGCTGGCCACACCCCCACCCTTGCCATCACAGCTTCACTGACGCAGAGGAGCCTATGGTTCCTCTGCCCTGTGTGGGAGGGAGACAGGGTTTAAAAAAAAAAAAAGAGCTGGGTGCGTTTCGCCCTCATGCATGGTTTTCGTATATAAAGGAATGGCCTTCTTTGGATACATAGTTAACAGATTTTCTTCTTTCTCCATGACTGTACTAGAAACAAAGTATCTGGTTACTATAGACTAGGGGTAGGCAACCTCGGCACTCCAGCTGTGGTTGAACTACAAGTCCCATGAGGCATTGCAAGACTGACAGCCACGGCTCCTAGAGGCAGAGGCATCATGGGATTTGTTGTTTCACAACAGCTGAAGTGCCGAGGTTGCCTACCCCTTCAGATGACAATTAAAGTTACAACAACTTTTCTATGAAGCCCTATATATGTTTTACCCATGTTATCTTTGAGATTTGATTATCGTTCCTGCGTGTATTTTGCCTTCACAGACGCTTAAACATGACATAGATGAGTCCTACATGAGAAACTCCAGACAACAAGTAATAGCAATCAGTCGACTACTACTGCTATCCAGCACACAGCAGCTGTGCTAAAACCAGAAGATTTTCTCAATTAACCTTCATCTGAGGTCTCCATAAACCACGCACAAACCAACTCACAGGGTGTGTAGGAGGGCAGGTAAGAATGTACTTCCTGAAGAATGTGCAGCGTAACACCCTCTCACATTGCTTCCTTCATCACCAAGTACATTCATACGTTCAAGGCGGTTTATATGCGACTGGTGACCAACATCCTGGTGCTGACTTCGTAAATTGGGATTTATGTATGAGAAGGGCGAGAGGCGGCAGTAGGCTCCACATTCAAAAGCTGCTGCGTCTCCAGATAACCAATAAAAAGCAGCGGGTGTCCTGGCAAATGAAAGCCTGGATGAAAAACTGGAACACCAAAGCAGATGGGCTGTGCTTGTTTGTGGCCATTCCACGGATGAAGTTTCCATTTTGGCTGAAGTGTTTTATGCACATTACACAGGCAGGAAAACTCAAGTGCATCACAACATGAACAAATGGCCACCTACCTTAAAAATACCCCTTTACTACAGGCAAAGCCCTACAATGCCAACATGGGTCAGGTCATTCAAACACTGCTCTCCATTGCCCAGGAAATGTGTGCTGCAGAGAATGAATTACAATGCCAGAATCACAGGAAAAGTTGGATATCGTCTACCAGCAACACACAACTGCAAGTGATGTCATTTCACATCAACTTGTTCAGGGCTGGTAGTCGTATCAACCACTATACTACTGACTCATATGTTGTGTTATCAAAGTGAAGGGTACAAGTGAACAATTGTGACTTACTTTGAAGTTTGGTGAGAAGTATCTGTTGGCCTTGTCCTTGTTAGCTTTATCTAGGTCGTTCTTTGTTAATGCGAGAGCGAGATATTCCTTGTCATTATCTGAACGTTCCGTGCTTTTGATACCATCAAGTTCCTGCTCTCCAAGTAATGTTCCATTCTCTACTTTGTCTAAATACTCTTCGGGACCAGGTATGAAGAACGTATTTATCCAAAAATGAAACATTTTTTCCTATAAGAGAAAGACATCACTTTTAGCAAAACTAAGAAAGAGAGTGGGAGAGCAAAAAAAATAAAGAAAAAGTGGAGCGTGCAAAGATAAAAGTGAGATTACCATTCAATAAAGATATATATCCATTAACACCCGACCTGAGAAGATCGGCCTAGAGAGAAAGGTAGCAGTTGTCTAATCACTTTTGTATCTACACATCGTAATTTCCACTTGCCCTGCTTTCCAATTACATAATGCAGAGTTAAAACACATTGGGGGGGGGATATTATCAAATCTGGAGCAGTTGCCTATGACAACCAATCGGCTACTATTTGCTTGTTCAGTTAAAGTGACATTAAACCCTCAGATTTTTTAACATAAACCAATACTGTAATGTGTGCCTTACTGTAATCCATGGTAGTTTCCCTTCTCTTTGATGCTCTTTTAAATCTGTATCTGTTCTCATGCTTGGAGAGAACTTCCCTTTTCAGCTCAGGGCCTCTTCCTGTAGTGCTGGCTCAGGTTACAGCCTATACACAGACATCGTGTGAGACAAGGCAGTCTGCTGAAAAGGGAAGTTCTCTCCAAGCATGAGAGCAGATACAGATTTAAAAAGGAAGAGCATCAAAGAGAAGGGAAACAACCATGGATTACAGTAAGGCGCACATTACACTATTGTTTTATGTTAAAAAATCTGAGGGTTTAATGTCACTTTAAGGTTTAAAAATGAAAGATGGAAGTGGATTGGTTCACATGCACCGCTGCTCCACATTCTGATAAATTCCCCCATTGTGTGTAGCATGCTTGCTGAAGTGACAGTCAGGGAGCAGTACTAATACACTGCACACAACTGTCGGAGGGAATATTTTGGAATTAAACCATCAGGAGCAGCTTGAAAGAAGAATCTTTGAAAACTAAGACTAAATCCACCTGAGCTAGAGAGATGCTACCGCCTCCATACATCAAGCTAAACTTTGCTTTACGTGTCCTCCAATATACTCCAATGGAGTCGGGCTCATTTATAATGGAAGGTGTCATTGATCATATGGAAAACATGTGGAGGCTGCAGTGTCTTACAAGGTTCTCTCTGCATTCTGCTGAACAGTTCACATGAAATACAACCACTGAGCATAATGTGTACTCTACATGGCCCACCACCAAAGTAGTGTCACCATTTCTTAACCCCTTCATGACTGAGGCCTTTTTTTCATTTTTTGCACCCATGTTATATTCCACATTTTAGGCCTGAAAATTACTTAAAACCCCCAAACATTATATATTTTCTGAATGCCAAGACCCTATACAATATAATGGTGGTAGTTGCAAATTTTTATGTTGCGCAATATTAGCGCAACTCCTTATTAAACCCCAACATTTAGTGACAAATTTAATTAAAAGCCCAAAAACACAACAAAATACCCATTTTTTAATTGAAATATAAAAGATTAGGTTACGAGTAAAACGATACCCAACATGCCCAGTTTACAAATTGCGTGCGTCCGTGAAACGGCGAAAAACTGCAGTAGCCCAAAAAAGTCCACAGAAGACGCTTTAAAAGCCCCCACAGGTCATCAATTGAGATACTCCAAAATACTGGCCCTAGAATTATTGCTCTCACTCCGGCGTGCGCGGCGATACCCAACGTGTAGCGCGTTCGTCGTTTTCATACGTAGGCGCACCCGGCACGTGTTTACGTGGCGACGCACATGCTCGCGGGGGCCTTTTAAATTTTTTTAGTATTTGTTGTTGTAAAGCCGACAGTCGGCTCTACAAGTTTAAACAGAGTCCCGGCGGCAAAAGTCGCCGGGAGTCTGTTTAAACAGCCCCGATGCTGGCGATGTACACTCTACGTCGTCAGTCACGAAGGGGTTAAATTACAGCATAGGGGGCAGCTGGGCAAAAGTGGAGTGGAAGCACAAGATGATGCAAGCCATGAACAGTGCTACAGTGCAATTACTGTGACACTGAACTCAGGAGTTAAATCTTACAAATGCGTTCAGGTAATTTAACTATTAACAAAAATGATATCTTGTGTCTCACTCCGCTCTAGAACCTCAAATCTCAGAATTGGTGCTGACACTGTCCTTCCTTCTGGAGGGTGGCTACATTTGTTCCCCATGGTCCCTGTGTGTGTTATAAAGTAGCCACCATTCCAGGTTCACTCTTGTGATGGACTACAAACTCAGGTTTAGTTCACGAATTTGTATTGAGATTGTACATCCCGGGAGTGAGCTCGGAGAGGCATCTACTTTACAACACACAGGGACCATGGGGAAGAAAAGTAGCCACCCTCCAGGAGGAATGACAGTGTCAGCACCAATTCCGAGATGATTTGAGGATCTACAGCCGAGTGATACACAAATAAGATACATTTTTAAGATTTAACTTCTACCTTAAGGTGTCACTTTAACACGCACAGAGGGGGCATGGCCAGTGATGCTACACTTGCAGCAACACTAGATTTCCTGCATAAAAATAATTGCACTTCTATGACAGTCCTAAAAGGTTGTTTGATCATTTCCAGATTCTGCATAAGGCTTGACATGTTTGGTGTCTATCTATCCGACGTGACCCCATCTTTTATATTTTACCAAAAATTGGGGTGATAAATGTTTCGTAACATTTCATAGGGAATGTATGGTACTTTTTTGTTATTCAATAAAAAAATAAAACCCCCAGTGGTGATTAAATACCACCAAAAGAAAGCTCTATCAGTCCCCCAAAAAATGGTATAAAATTCATTTCAGTAAAGCGTTGCATGACGGAATAAATGTCAAAGTACCGCAGCGCTGAATACTGAAAAATGGCCTGGACGGGAAGGGGGTTTAAGCCCCCGGTCTTCAAGTGGTAAAATGTAACCAATGTTTTGTGGCTTTTTTTTTGACAACTGCTTCTATTTATTTTATTTATATTTTCTGTAGAGTAAAAGATTACAGGAAGCCAATATGGAACTCTAAGTCACAAGTCAAAGGTCAATCTGAAGGTAGGGCTGAGCTCCAATTTCACAGCTTGTGCTTCCAAGAAGGAAGTCTGTAAAGCTTCCATCTCCGGTGTACTTGCACCCCAGAAATGTAAGCGATGGAGCGGTCATATATTTTACTTACAGGCAGCGCTGTTCATATTTCTCAGCAGCATAAAACTGCAAATAAAAGCAAAGCTTCAGACATAACATGGTACCACGGCATCCATTGTCGAGTCACACAGGAAGTCCTTTACCAGCTGAGGAATGTGGCAGATTGCAGATGAACTGTGCTGGAGTAATGTCAGGAATGCTGAGCTCTGCTTTTACGCTATAACACAATACTCCATCTTTTACATGTAACATAGAAATTCAGGGGTCAGAGCTCTTTTCTAAAGCCAGAAAATGTTCTGGCCATTGGAAACACCAACCTTTTTCATCATCTTGTTCTGTTTGTGGAAAAACTCAACCTTTATATCTCCACAAACAGGAAGAGCCTGCGGGAAGTCAAAATACATGTACTTCTCCTCACGTCTTGTGGGTCCTGTAGAGGATGTAAATATCTTAACCTTCAGCTGATAGATAACAAACTGGGGATCTAGAGGAGTGGGAAAAAGCACAACGTTAGAACAATTCACTGCGTGCAATGCTTCAAGTGCACACATTCAACTCATCAGATATAATAATTCTGTACTGTGTGTGAGGTTCAGAATTGGATTTTTTATTGCCAGTTGACTCTACAAACCCATGACATTCATACAGCTTGTTTTTGCAGAGATAAAGCACATTTGCGATATCTGGTTATTAGTGATAATGATCATGTCAGTGGAAGAATTGCGCTCAGACTAGATGCGGTTACTGGTGCTGTTCATACCACAATACAGCTGCATTTTTCTCACACAATACTGAACCATATTGCAGCACACCACACTACTGTACAAGGACCTGGAGTGTGGAGTTTGTACACTCAAGTTTAAAGAGCAACTCCAGGCAAAGCTTGTATTAATCCTTGCAGTGGGGCTACCCCTGTACTGCAAGGGTTAACAGCTTGTTTTTGCCTAGGTGCTAAAAAAAAAGTTAAGCACCCCCAAACTGCTGAGTCAGCTCCCTGCTCCTCCAGTCTCTGAAATCTATCTCCTACGCTGCAGCATTGGAATGTTCCAGTGTCTTCATGTCTATACACAGTGTACAGAATGTGATGATTTATGGGACTTTAGATTGCTGCAGAGGAGGGGAGAGAGGCTGGAAGGACTGGTTTAAGGGCCCTGTCACACCATCAAGAGTGTGTTCCAGTGCGTTCGGCCTCTGGAACACACTGGAAGGCAACCCGGCTGGCTCACTGTTTTAGACGGGAAGGGGCGTGGTGGTGCATTGAACTCAATGGCACAGCAGCCACGCTCCACCACCCGCGGTGCAATCTGTCACCCGAACGCGTGGCACATTAGTGCCTGCGTTCCGGTCCAGTGCGATCTGCCAAAAATGCGTGCCACGCGTTCGGATGCCGGCGATTGTCGAGTCACACAGGAAGTGACCCGGCCGGGTTGCCTTCCAGAGGGTGAACGCACTGGAGCGCACTCTTGATGGTGAGACTGGTCTCAAAGAACAAGCTGGCTCTGCAGTTATGGTGAGTATAACTTTCATCACCTAGAAAAAACAAGCAGTGCAGGAGTAGCCCTACTGCAAGGGTAAATAGAAAATGTTGTGCGGAGTTCTTTAACAAAGCACCGGTACACAGCACACCCACTAAAATACTCCGAATTAGCAGATGGCCTTTTGTGAACGGGCCCTAAATCTTGAGGACGTTCTTCAAAATGTGAAAAATCACTGCAACAGAAAAAACAGTCGCCTTTTCCCCACAGAAAAACGAAAACCCAGAAGGCTCCTGATGAGCAAAAGATCTCGCTCTCCCCATCTAAGGCCCGTTCACACTTAGCGATTTATCACGCAGTAATTCTCGCGTTATCGCGGCAATTTACAGCGCGATATCGCTCCCCAATGCTTCTCAATGGGGCAGTCGCGGGTCGTGCGTCGCTACAGCAGGACCCTTTTTGTAGCGGATTTAGCCGCGATTCAAGCTTGCTCAATGCAAGCATTTGCGCAAAATTCAAATTGCGCGACAAAACGCGCGATTTGCGAATCGCGCAGTGTGAATGGGGCCTAAGAGAGATCTGCCCAGCTGTGTGTATTTTAAACCCAGCACTACACATGAAGATTTGCTTAAGAACCTTGTACTAAGGCAAATGTATGCACTTGCCCCAATGGTAAACAAAGGCAACAAGACCAGTTCTGTTTACACAGGAAGAAAGTTGGTGCAGAGAGTGCACTCTGAAGCAGCTTCACTGACCCCTCCTCCAGGTACTAACAGTCACTGCCATTAATTGGCTCTTCTAGTATCCAGTGTCTTAGTCTCACGTGTTTATGGGTGATGTACATACACATTTCACTGAACATTGTGATGGCGACACTCATTTCCTGGTCATGCAACACTTGAAGGAAGCCATGCACCAGATGTTCCATATTCCACTTTTTGTTACATTCAATAGAGGAATCAAAACACTAAAAAGTCCAGCTGAAAATATTTGATGAATATGGTAAACAGGTTTCTGAGCTCCTACTGGTGAGAACTTTGTATCGGATTTACCGCATTAATATAAAAGACAACTTGGAGTGATTCCAGTGAGTGCCGTGATTTCTCTGAATGTGTCAGCCGGCAGAAATGAGACAAACTGACATTTGAAAGTGCTGAAGGGGAAATTCTGACCAACCTGCAGCACTGTTACGTTTTCATTTTTTTTTGTTGTCAAACAAATACAACCACCAGAAATACTGCACATCATCCTCGCCGTTCCTGGCAGTTATATGTATTAAAGCAATGGCATGGATGGATCAAATACATGGATAAGAAAACAACATTCAGCTATGTGCCAATCTGCTATTTCCCCATTAACAAAAACTCAAATCCATTTTATGACATCTGTACACATTTGTGTTAAACTCCATCTTATATCCACATATAGCAGAATTTTAGGCATGATACTTGTACCATTCAGCCCATTTACCATAGATGTAAATACAGACCAAGGGGCACATAAACCAAGCATCTGTAAGAGTGTTTGAAAATGCGTCCAGTAACACATATGAGTTTACACAGTCAGTACATGTGAGGAACACATGAAACTACGGTAGTGATACCGGACTAAAGCTGGCCATGCACTGTGATATTTTCTTCCTTCAACTTGCCGGCTGAAGGAAGAAAATATCAGATTCCTCCATCAACGCTAACCAGGGTCAAAGGATACCCGCCGTTTATATTGTATTCCAACAGCGGCCCCTGGCTGGTGTCAGAATACCTGGACAGAGGTGTCAGCTGATTGGCTGCTAGCTCTGTTCGTATGAAAAGTATCTGACCGGCTCCTTCGATCAGCTGATCCAAGAATGCTGGCCAACAGGAGCGCCCACTGTGCAATCGGGCAGTGTATGGCCAGTTTAAGACCAATGGCAGCCAGAACTCTGCTAGCACTGCATCAAAAATAAAGATCACAGATTTGAGCAAAACGTATAGAATAATAAATAAAGGCATGCTCACTAGATGACCAAATCAACATTCGCACTATAACATTTGTATACAACTATCCAATGAATATTCTGCTTTACCAGTAAGAATAAAAAAAGTGCTATTAGACATAATGTAATAAGACTGCACAGACATTGCAAAAAGACTGCCAACCAACCACTTCATGTATTAAAAAAAACAAAAACACACAATCAACCACTTTACAACTATATCAATAACAGAACAGAAACAAGTGTACAATTACCACAATATGGAAAGTGTAACGCAAAATAAAAATGGTACAACACTACCCCTAACAAAACAAAACAAATGATATGCATGTTCCCCAAAACCTGCTAATGACCAGGGACCAACAACTATACCTCCTCTGCAAACTGCTGTCCCGCCATATTCTAGATTTATAGAGGGGATAATGTAGCATGTGTGGTCATAACAGCTGAATGGCATGGAGGAATTCTGCTAAACGTTATTTTCAAATCCTATGTCAGGTGTTTTGGTGGAGTACACCGAATCAGACTAAAACGTGTCCCCCCCCACAGTGTGTTCTTGGGAGACTTTCCCCGATGACAGCGGCTAAGCACAGTAAAGGTCAGCAACAGCTGCAGGAAGTGGCAAGAAGATGGGGCGCAAGGTCTCCTTTTTTGCTTCTAACCTTTGGTATTTAGCGTTTTATTAGGTGTATATAAAAGGGGGGCTCCGTAATAAGTGGACCTTGCATTTTCATTTAACTGCTTATGTTAATATTTTATTAAAATACTTTCATAAGTCATAACTGTGCAATCCTACATCATTTCATGCCAAGAAAAAAAACAAACCCAGATTAGACTGAAAATATCTGGGCCCAACACCAATCCTCTTGGTACACCGTTGCTTATTTTCAGCCCATTTTGGAACATGCTCTTTACAAATACATATATAATAATCTATTTTCAGTCTAGCCTAGAAATCTGGGAGCGGTCCTAGCAGAGGCAATCAGAGTCACATGTCACCTGAAATCTGTCTGATCTCATAGGTCTGCCATAGATGTTAGTGTTGGGGCATCACAGGATTACAGTTCTTGTCTAAGCATGGGGTTCATAAGACATAAAACGAAGAGGTGGGTGGGGGGATATCACATAAGGAAACCAACAAGGTGATCATTTATAGACTAAATATTCAGATCTCTGCATAGGCCACAAAATAAGTGGTGCTTTTCCATCAGTTCTTTGCCCATGCTAATACATGGTCCTCTCGTGTTTGCATCCTAAAATACAGTACCGGATGATGAAAAAGGAAACACGAACTCAAATTGAACTAAATTAAGAATGTTGGGATATACAAGTCCAGGTTCGGGGGGCAGTCTAGGGCAGGCACAAAAAAAGTTTTAAAACCAATAGCGAGCACCTTCTAAAGCTTAGTTTCCTGAGCTGCTTTGAATCTAACAAGGCTGTGGAAACTACAGGTACACTTTATATAATGTGCTATTTTGTATACAATGATCAGTAAAGAAAGAATGCACCTCCTACCTTTGAGTGTGTAAAAAGAAAAAGCCATGCAATGAAAATCTAAATCGAAAACAAAATGCCATTATACCCTATACTTAGTACGCAATGCAGTCATTACTATTCCAAGAAAATAGCTACAGTTAGACCAAACACATACCAGGCTTCTGAACTATTAGACGCACGCTCCGTGTAACGGTTGGGTTAGGTGTACAAAACCAAACTGCCTCAAAATTAAGCACAGGAAGGGAGGAGGCTTTAAACCCAAACCCAAAGAAAATAACCACAATGGTGTGCAGACAAAGGACAAGATAACAGCACGGGCTGTGGTGATCAGGCAGTGACACACATCACTTTTTTATAACAGAATAATCTTTTCACCACGTAGCTGCAGAAGATTAGAAACAGATAGATATTTAATCTGTTTAAAAAAAAAGAATGACCAAAATATTTTGAAAAAAATGCTGATTTGGTGTAAGGGCCCATTCACACCTATGTGTTGTGTTAATGGCATGGTACCGTGTGATTAACGCACGCCATCGTGCAACGCACCTACTGTTCATTACCGTGCAAGTGCGTTGCCATTCATTTGAATGGTACCCCATTGCACCTCCTGGCCACAATGCGTTGCAACACAGCACCTAAATACCGTGCGCTGTAGAGGAAAAGTATTGTATGCAACGCAAAGTATTGTGCGCCTAACACGATGCATAGGTGCAAACAGGCACTCAAAAAAAAAAAAAAAAAAAAATCAAGAAATTCTGTGTGTCCAATCATACCTTTCTCTGAAAACAAAAATCTTTCAGAACCTAAATGTTTGCAGACTTTTGTGAGGGGGGCACTTTTCAGCCAAAAAAATGGGCTGAAAATCTCGGCTTATACTCGAGTATATACGGTAAATATGAAAAGGAGGAGTTTATACTCTCATGCTTTCTCAAACATTGCATGAAACAAAAAAGTGCACAGAAGAGTCTGGGACAATCATCTTGCACCTTTAGAACAGCAAGGCGCAGAGATTTACACTGCTTACTCAAAGCAGAAAACAGATTTCTTAACCGAGAGGATTAACACATCAAATGTTCAATTTTTTACCCTATTGTAGAGAAATAAGCAATGAAGTCACACTATCTATTCCAATGTGCCTGCACTGGATTATGAAATTGCAGTAAGGCGTGGAAGGTCAGACACCTAAGGGTAAATCACATTCATAGCAGGTTCAGTTTCCTGCCAGCAAACCACAGAACCTTAGACGTCATCTCACTAGTCTCCAAGCTAGTGTGCAGGTTGAGGCTCCTGGTGCAGAAGTGGTCTCTGTACCATTCCCATACTAAATGTCAACTATACCATTAGGGAGACACTAATGCCTGTATATACCCTTTCTAACCCCTCCACGACCCATGACAGGATAATCCCACCAGCATTGTGAAGGGGCTACTCTGTTCATAATTGTAGAGCAAGCGGACGGCTTTACAGAAGCGATTCTGGCTGCTCAGCTGCCACCAGATCGCTTCTACATTCTGGTAAAGCGGCCGCCCCAACCTGTAGGGGCTTTTAAAGTATCGTGTATGGAGTTCTTGGGGTACTGAATTGTCGCAGTTTCACGAAACCACACATGTTGGGTATCTATTTACTCGTTGTAACTTCATCTTTTATATTGTACAAAATGGTTTTGGGGCACTAAATTTATCTTAAGTGCATTTTTCACAAACGTTTTCTGTTTGATAAGTTGTGCTGATGTTATGCAACAAAATATTTGCAACTGCCACCATTTTATTCTACAGGGTCTTGTCTTTGAGAAAATATATAATGTTTGGGGGTTTTAAGTAACTTTCAGCCCTAAAATGTGAAGTAAAACATGTAAAACAAAAAATAAAAAAGGCCTTTGTCCTTAAGGGGTTAATTACTCAAACCCCAACACTGCATTTGACATCAGTTTCTAAAAAGAACTTGGCCACCCCTTCAAGACCAACCTCTTCCTTCATCCTAGTCTCAACAGGTCACCGGCACACACACAGATGAATCACAGTCAGTCACTGTCGCTCTGATGCCTCTGCGAGGTCCCGAAACGCTAGCTTCAGCTTCTAATGACATGCTGCGACATTCTTCAATTAACATATCAAAGAGATATTGTATTCATGTGTGTGTGCCGGTGACCTGTTTAGACTATTCTGAGTTTTGCACGGCGCCATCCGTGTGATCACCATGAGCACCACCACCATTGGAAGGTTGCAGACCGTAAGGAGTGCGTGTGGTTCTTGGAAACAATTCTTCCTTCATCCTGTCATCTGCTCTGGAGACAGAATCTGGTGGTCAACAAGAGACATTTAGTCCCCATTCACACTTTTCATTCCAATAGGTTGCCTTATACGTGGCAAATAAACTTGTGTATCTTTTTGAGCTTTGTGTGCCTTAATAAATAGGAACATGTGTAAATCACAGGGTTTTGTGCACAGTCATGTACTACAGTAACATACACCAGGCCCAATCAAATACAGAAAGGGGCTTACACTTCAGTCCCTGCAGGACTTGCCACTTGCCAGGATACTGAACTGAATATTTAATGCATTCCCAAAACTAAAAGTCTTGAACTTACTCTGAGTTTTTCTAAGGGCCCATTCTCATGGCAGCAGAGACATACAACGCCAAGCAGGGGCATATTTCTGCGGCCAGGTGTCCTAGTTGTTTGCGTACAGCAGCCTGTACAAATGAATGGCAGGCTGACCGATGTCTTAGTTGCACGCAAACAGCTTGCGTTCAGGGCCACTCATCCATTCCTGTATGCTCGGACACACATACCAGTGCCTCTTGACTGTGTACGGCCCTCTGCAGCCATGTGAATGAGCCCTAAAGGAAAACAGTTTGCCATTTGATTTAGAGGTTGGACTTTATCTCCACAACAGAATCCAAAGTTCATTTTGATCTAACAGCCCAGCTGATGTCAGAGACAAACAGCACAATACATATTTCACAGAGTCATTCTGGAATCAGCATTACAAGAAGAGACACTCATTCCACTTACTGCATGTTCCACCGCTGAACATTGGAATTGTTTCAAACATCATCTTGTGAAAGAGAAGTGCCACTGGTCTGTAATCCAAATGATTTTTTAACAAGTAGCTGTAGTAATATACGTAGCGCCTTTGGCTGGGAATTGTCACACCCTAAAAATATAAAAGACGTTAGTTCTGCAGTTTGAACCACACAGCTTTACAACTTCTCTACCTTACTTAACATTTCTTTTATCACACAAGATAGAAATCTATTATAAACACACCTGAGTACACAAGTCACCTATTTAAGACATCTGCAGCAAAGTCAGACAAAGAAATGGACTTTGTCATATTGCTCAAACTAAAGAAATCGTACATAGCTGGAGGGTAATGGCATTGTACAATGGAAATGTAAAATTTAAAGCAAGAAGTACTGGGATGCACCAATTAACCATTTCATGCAAAACACTTTACATTGCATGCAAATTAAAAAAACCTCCCCTGATAAGGAATATCATGAATTCTGTCACTGCATGAACTAAATATGGTTAGGTTTTAGAAAGATGTCCTCTACTGCAAATACATATGAGAACTGTTTTTTCTGACAAATGGTAAACGTTGTTACTAACAGGACAAAAGCCTACCTGGTTAGATATAAAAATGGAATAGATTTCCGCTATTACTTACTGTAAAATATTGTAGGTTAGGGCTAGTTCACACCAGATGCAGTCTGTTCAGTTTGGCAGCTGCATCAAAATTGTGTCACAATGCTCTCCAATGGGATTTCTGGTGTTCTGTTCACAACAGTCAGAAAAAAATACTGCTTGTCTCCTTTGAGCTGCACCTGATCGCAACGGAAAGCATCAAAATGCATCGCACTGCAGCCACACGCAACTATGGCGTGAACTAGCCCTAAAGCTAAATGACACTGCACAAATCAGATAATGCAAGTCCTCCTTGAAGTGTATGTAAACTAACTTCTTTTATGTGCTCCCTATTTTCTATTAAAACTGTTGAACCTACCTACCAGACATCCAGTTCTGTGCACTCAGGTGTTAGCTATAGTGTATAGCAGTCCTATCAGCCCTGCCCACGTTACCTCTGAACTACTACAAATAGAGCAGCAGCAGGGGTGTGAAGGGAAACAAGGCATAAGCCGCTGTGCAGGCCAGCACTAAAGTCAACCTATTGTATTTGCCAGCGTACAGGTTCAATTTCAAGTCCATCATGCAGGCACAGGCCAACCACCAATGCGAGTCTAAACTGGTCAGTGGAGCAAAGGCGGCACACAATTTAAGCACCGGTTTTACAGATATCTGCAGAGGACTGACGTGAAAAAAAAATATATAAAAGGTAATTCTGGTACTTTATAGTAAAACGCTTTCTTGAAGTCACAAGAGGTTAAACGTTTTATTTCTTCACAATTGCATGGCGATCGGATTCAAATATTTGTACACGCTTTAAGATTTCAACTATTTCTAGCAGTAATTTCATTTGGCACAAAAGATCACGTATAAGGGTTGTACACAAACAATACTGACCTTTTTGTCCCTGGTCCGAACCTCTCCATAAAAATCTAATGCCTCTTGTGCCTTTATAAACTTGCCTCGATGTAGCAAATAAGCACAGATCATGACTCCTGTACGACCTTTGCCTGCTTTACAGTGGATTGCTGCTACATTGTCATTTTCACTTAGCCATTGGTCAAGATCTTCACAAAATGGTTTGATTAGCTCTAACTGTGGAGGATTGTGGTCTTCAAAAGGATACTGTGCAACTGTTCAAAGAGAAAAAAAAAAAACACAAGCGTTTTTGCCAATTACTGTACAAATCATTTATTCAGCATCACGGTACTGTTACAAATCAGTAAACACAACAGCATAGAACAGCAATGATGTCACACCTACAACACTCTTATGGCTAAGCGCTTTCAGCTATGTACTGTTCTTACAGTAAAGCTGTACTTTGTGCACAACAATTTAAACAGATTCAATCACCTGCTGTTCTCCCTAGTTGCACCTACCTACCTTCCTACTCTCCATCGCTCTGTTCAGCCACCAGGACTTGGAGCTTACACAGAGCTGAGGATCCCCTACCTGCGCCCACTTGGCAGAGCGATCTATTACAAAGCACAAGCTCTGTTTAAGGAATGGAGCGAGTCAAATGGTCAGATCGGAGGTGAAGTATAAGGCATTATGCATGCTGTCTGCATCCAAGTGCGGCCACCCATACACACATGGATGTGCAGTTCGGGTGTGTGTGACCGTGTACAGGCGCATTCTCCCATAGGGAAGAACAGGCTGCTACGCGCAATCACACGCAGCACCTGTCCCTCACAGGATGGGCCTGTTTACGGGCATGCACTCCACAAGGACATGTACACCCCGTGTGAATGAGGCCTTAGAGGAAAAAGGTATGAAAAGGAGGCACGGGTAAAGCTTTATAGAAGAGAGTGGGGGTACAGAGATCCTTAATCCAGCACCATGTAGTTACTAAGAAGAAAAAAAAAAAAAGGAGTGCCCCAGTCTGTACATAAACATGAAACGGGCTCTCTCTCATCGTTTTTCTTCTATACATTCATTTTAACAATGCTCCACTCGTGGAGCTCATTGCACATTTTTATAGCACACTGTTTTGATTTATAAATGTGGGACGCTTTTGTATTTGTAAAAAGTAGTAGTATGGTCATCATAAGACCATACGGTTTTATTTTCTTAAATAGACCCCCCCAAAAAAAAAAAATCTCTTCTGGATCTTTGGATTACTTTTCCTGTTCATTTATAGAGAGTAAAATCCCTGTGTTAAGATTTACATCACGGTGGCAATTTTCTGGCCGTTTCTTAATGAAGCAACACATGAAGCATGCAGGCCAGTAGTTTCAGTTGTTTGACCAAACACTAGAATGAGGAAGATGTATGCTCTACATGACTTTGAACACACAAGGATTTATTGGCACCAGATGTAGTGGGCAGCATCTCAGAAGCCACGGAACTCCCGGGGATTATCAAGCACCACCGCTTCTAAAGTGGTGGTGAATGGTGCAACAAGTAAAAGAAATCTAGAAACTCTTCCGTCATCAATCTGCAGGAGAACACAACCACTCAAACAAGCACTGCATAATGGCATTCTGGGCACACTACGCATGGAACCTCAAAGGGCTACAGCAGCAGAAGACAAACACAAGGAAATGAGGCTACAGACCAGATAACATCCCTCAAACAGGGACTAAAGACTAAAAAAAAACCATTGCCTGGTGTGATGAATCATTCATGCTGCTGCAAAATGCAGATGGTAAGATCAGAATTTAGAAACAGGAGGAAATAGGTTTGCAGCACAAAATGTGTGGCCCAAAAAAGCCACAATAATTAGGTGATGTATTGAGGAAAAAAGTAACCACTGAGGGTACGTGACAATCATAGGCACAATATCTTTTATAATATGCCATTGTCTGAGTCGTCTGCAAAAAGTGGAGAGACAAAAATAGCACAATATTGCTTTCGGCAATAAAACCAACAGCAAGAAACAAAGGATTCCGAGAGCTCAATTGGTTAGCTAGAGACCACGCAGCAATATATGGCAGCCTTCAGATAAACTATCTGATAAAAGGATGAATCGAATAAGTTCAGTGGGTATCTAAATGTTTTAACCAGTTGCCGTCCGCCCGTTGTAAAAAAACGGACGGACAGCACTGCTGCGTTGGCGGGTTGCCGTCTCCAGATGGCATTTTTTTTTCTGCTCGCGGGCGCGCACGGGCAGAAAAGACCCGACCAATGCAAACACCCGTTGCCGGGTGTTTCACATAGACGATCGGCGGCTCTATAGCCTGCCGATCGTCTATATGTGCTTGTTTTTTCCTGACCCCTCACCTTCAATTCCGGGATCCGCTGCCCCATCTGCGGCCCGGGATCGGGTATTAGATAGTGAGGGGGGGAAAGCAACTCCTATATTTCTAATCTGACAAATTCTATGGATGTTAACAACCCATTGCCGCAGGTTCTTGATGCTCTAAACTATGGCTGCCTAGAATACTCGCAGATCAGCAACAGATTTAAAGCAAGGTTAATAACAAATACAATGCATACAAGTTTCTCAGTTTTATCCCTTAAAAAAAACGCTGCCCAGAAAAATAGCTGGGGACTCAATTTTCCTGTTTGGGCCGACAACTTTTACATGGATATCCCAAGCAGGATTATCGGGCCCTGAATACTGAACTACAAAATGCTTCCTATCCTCACCCCTCTCTCCACATGGAATACATTGATTTCATTCTCAGCAAAACAGTGCTGCTGCCTAGACTCCCAAGAGCCTGCCTACACACTGGGAAAGGGGTTCTTGGGAGATCTAGTTCTGGAGCCTACATCAATTGGAACTGAGCTCCTCAGCAATTGGCCCCTACAGGAATTTTACAAGTCTGGTGATGTCACAGAGTGATAAAAGCTCAAAAGGGGGTGAAAAGGTTTGGGAGTAAATAAGAGCCATGTCTGGAAACATACAAATAATCGGTGTTCTAGACAGGTGCCAAATAGGAAGCTGTCACCAGCACACCAAACGATAACAGCAATTAAGTGCTCATTTATTGACAGACGCTGTCTCATTAGCAAGTGCTTTCGGGGCCACACAGGGTCCCCTTCATCAGGCTCAGAGATGACAGGTGCCAAACACTAATCTTTTGAAGGCAATAGAAACAATTGTACACTGCATTCAAAACAGTGAAGCCATAACATTCATACAAGGAACGTAGTCTACCTATAAAAAAAAACTTTTTTATCCATTCATTTTGTATGTGCCACAATAATCATGCAAACATTATACCATTTTCAATTAAATAAATACACTAATAATTTTAAAACGCACACCAGCTAATCTGCAGCACAGTGGTCTAGTGGTTAGCACTTCTGCCTTGCAGCACTGGGGGTCCTTGGTTGGAATCTCCGCCATGTCACTACCTACAAGGAGTTTGCATGTTCTTGTGTGGGTTTCCTCCGGGTACTCCGGTTTCCTCCCACACTCCAAAGACATACTGGCTCCTGTCTAAATTGGCTCTGTATGTATGCGAGACATACCATAGATTGTAAAGCTCCTTGAGGGCAGGGACTGATGTGAATGTGCACTGTGTACAGTGTTGCATAAATTGTCAGTGCAATATAAATACAAATACAATAAATAAAAACATTTAAAATCTAAAAAATAAATATGCCAACTTAACCCCTTCATGACAGCTAGTTTTCAGTTTGTTTATTTATCTTTGATCGTGCCTAGACGATCAGAACTGATACATTTCACTCAAAAGATACATTGTATCTTTTGAGTGAAATGTACCTAAACATCGGGCTCTCGAGCTGTCAAAACAAATAGCAGAGAGGTGAGTCACTGCTACCTCTCTGCTATTTTCAGCTGTCAAATACAGGATCGCAAATTGCGGCCCTGTATTTGCATGTAACGGCTTCATTCTTTCATTACTGAAAAGAAGTAGCTTCTACAAAAAGATTATTTCATTAATGAATGCCTCAATACTGACTGCTGAGAATCAGCTGTTACCAGCATTACAAAGCCTGATATAACTCGTCACGTACAGTGTACGTGGCCAGTCATATAGGCACAAAGTGCTGGGACGTACACTATACGTCTCCCGTCACGAAGGGGTTAAATATGCCTAGGCTAAAATCATTCCCACTTGCAACATTAAGACAATTGGGCTGACATGCTCTTATAGAACAGTAATGCACCCAAGATGTTTCCTCTTTGACTAGCTATTTAGGATTGGCGAGTCTCTGATCTCAGACCTGCCCAGTATCTCCTCCCAGTACTGCAAACCAGGGCTGGAGAAATCCCAGGAGCCAGGAAGCCAATGCTCCCTAAAAATGACAGCTGGCACCTAAATTGAGGTTTCTCTAGTTGTTGTCAATGGAGCTGGCTCCTAAAATAAGCCATCCTAGCTCCGGAATTCCATACTAATTTGGCTACCCATGAACCTCATAGTGGTCAAGCCTGACCACGCTTGGGTTTTTATTATTCGCGGGAAGAACGAGAATAGGTGGGACATCCAGCTGTGAAGGCGGCATTAGATGAATCCCCAGTGTTACAATCACTTGTTGCCTGGAGTTCTTTAACAAAAGGAGCAAAACCAAAGCTATGCTCTTATTTCAGTAACGGGAAGCTGATGAAATGCTCTGTCAATGTGAGATGGGTTTAGAACGTCTCAGCAAAAATAGATAACTTACCTCTACAGCTAAATTTGTTGGTGTCATAATGTCTTTCAGCACATCTGTAAGAAAGGAGGTAAAGGTAAACTATAGATTACAGTAAAACAAATAAATCACAATTCCTGAAGGGTTTGTTTAACTTTTTAGTGCATCATCTTCCCAAGTATCTTCCCAAACTTCCAGGCCAGCTTTGCCTCCCGCAATCAGACACAAATGCTGTAATCCAGTCACATGTACAGCCCATCCCACTGAATTGTGAAACATGTAGTATGATTATCGGCCATTGAACTACAGTCATTGGTGATCGAACTATATGTTCCACAATGCAAATGGTGTACAAATTCGGAAATGTTGCTCAGACGCGCATCTTGTGATCAGAAGCCTGACATACAGTATAACAGAACAGGGGGGTAAGCACGTTTTTAAGATAAATAAGCCTACACATTATGATTGGCATCTGTTATAGGTGGAATTGTTGCAGAGATTATTTTAAAAGTGATAAAGCGGAACTAACCCTTTCACAAGCAAATGCCAAAGTTTACATATGCTAACACTATCTAAAGTATCCATTTCACAAAAATGTGCTGAAATTGTAAATCAAACTAAATCTATTTAGTAACAAAAGAAAAAAGGGTCTAATTATTTCTAATTTCCATTTGCAGCCAAATCTTGTAGAACACATTACTCTGCATTATTTAAATGGATATGCATTTAAGACCTCAGGCATTGATCTTGGAAAGCTCTCAGAGTGCGAGTGCCATGTGATGTCATTATTGGCTTGGCTCCTTAAGAGGACATCACGTTCAAAATCTGACTTTGGATAGTGGTCTTTGTGAAGGACGTGTCTTCCCATTGTTAGTTCCTTCCTAGTATATGTGTAAGAATGACTGATTTCTCAAGTGCTCACTTATGATCCCAAAAGTTTAGCAAGTGTGCTAATAGTAAGAATATAGGCATTAAACTTATATTTAAAAGCTGAAAAAAAGGCAAATTAAAAAAAAAAAAAAAAAAAACAAAAAAAATTTTAAAAAAAAAAAAAAAAAAAAAAGATACTGAACACTGCAACTCCCATGAACATTGTACAAAAAAAAACCAAAACATTATGTGGCCAGGTCTTTGGGGCTCGGACATGGATGACACTGGATCACCTTTGGCATGACAAAGTAAGTAGGCAGCCCTGGGATTCTGATGCACACACTGTAGAGAATTACACAGTGGCAGGTTGTAGGCTGGTTCACAAAGGATAGTGGAGACGGGACCAGAGGTGCAACTTGTTCAATAAATCAGTTTAAATCAGGGATCACAAATTATCCAAGAACTAATAAAACCGGTATGAAGGGAAATCTGCAATAAACTATGTTACGAGGTCATCTTTAAAAATACCCCAACAGTTAAAGGTCAGTAAATATGATACATCATATGATAAAAGTATCCACATAAGAACCTGATTAAACTTTTTCAAACACATTTTAAAATAGTCAGAAGTGAACATATTTCAAGGCTACAGGCTATGCTGCTTCCACTACATTAGATATCTGGCATGTCCAATCTGACAAAATGACCCACTGTGCAGTCCTCGATTAATTGTGGGTATGTATCCTCACTGACAGACACAAGCCATGCAATAATAAATTAAAGTATGATCACAGACCACAGAGAAAGGACACAGACAGAAAAGCTGTCCGATTTTGCAACACCTGCAAAGTTTTTCATAATGCAGCGCACCACAACACAGGTTACATATCTATGCGCTGTGGAGCACTACAGAAAAAGGTGCTGTTTTTGCTGTATGTGTGCGTAGGGAAAAGAGGTCCCTATCAACAGAAGTGCAGGAGTGAGGATGGCGCTGGGATGGGAGGGGGGGTTGAAGAGAGGTCAGTCAGGAGCAGAGTTTAACATTTAGCTGAAAAAGGGGGAGTGGAACATGGAGAGCAGGAAGAGGGAGTGCTACATGTGTCCTAAGGGTCCCCACACATCTTACGATTATCGTACGATAATATCGCGGGAAATCCCGCGATCGCACGATGTTCGTAAGGTGTGTGGAAGCCGTGCGACCTCTACTACTGTAAGGTCGCACGACTTTAAACATACGGACATGTTTGAAAACCCGCCGAGCATCGTACGATGTTCGGCGGGTTTGTGGCATGTCCGTACGATAACAGCCGCACGGGCCGGTGTGCGCAAGCGCACACTGCCCGTTCGGCATTGCGGTCATCGGAAGCCCGCCCCTCAGGGGGCGTGGCTTGCGATCATCGCAAGTACGATCTGCCTATGCAACACGCGTACGTTTTTTTAAGTACCTTACAACCATCGCAAGACAAAAGTCTTGCGATGGTTGTAAGGTGTGTGCCCAGCCTAAGGATGTAAAGCTCAATGTCTGCAAGGACCCTCCAGTAACCCGAAATGACAAGTGCCTTTTTTACATTATACAGTACATACAGGAAGGATGACAGGTTGTGTGAAAACGTCAGCAGGCTCACCATTTGAAATATAAGCAGCCACTTTTTAATATGCACACACATTTAGTGTATACTTATAATAAATATACAGGCTTTTGGGAGCACGTTGGATCAAACGTAACTGCAAAAACTTTAGGAGAGTGAAATTTATGTTGGATGCTTTTATGGTGAAATCTATATAGAGATTTGTGGACATTTACCTTGCTTTTTGCATACACCAAAATGTGCAGCCCAGTCCTTACAAAAGAAAAAAGCCCCAAGGGTTACACAACACAAAAACTCTGTTCTCAGCTGTGAGGAGAGGCGGAAAACAAACATCCACCTGTGTGATTTCCAGGAGCTTCTCCCAAACGTCCACAAGTCATTACATTGTCCATGCGTTCTATTACCATTCAGCACATGGTCACAGAGCATGAAGTGGGCTTGTTTCCAAGTCATTTAAAAGTAGATCAAGTAACATGAATGCCTGCCAAAATTCCATTTAACCTCGTCACTCCACCAACATAACCAAGCTAACTGAAGTCTCCATTAGGTTCCAACAAATAATTGTTTTGGGCATAGAAGTCAGTAAAACAATACACTTCTAGTTGTTCTACAGAAAGTAAAAGTAAGCCACTTTTTCTTAAAAAGCCATTTGAGATGAAAGTGGAGTTTTGGAAAAGTGGGCATTCTAAATATACACTTGAAAAATACTTACAGATTGTAGATCTTGTAATGGTTTTTATGCTTGGAATCCAAAAACCTTAAAGGCAAAATATGAAGCAGCATTACAATGCAAATAAATGTAATGGATAATACACAAAACTTAACGTAAAATTTGCTTATTCACATATTAGTGCCAACGAAGAAAAAAAATATTTATGGGCAAAATGTGTGCTTTTCAGTGAAAATTGCAGTCTACCCCTTGGCATGATTCACGCCTAATGCACAGTATTGACAAGGTTGTACTTAGTGTTCGAAAAGGATTAAACATGTTGTAATATGCATGCATTCCAAAAATATACAATATGCTTTAAAAAATAAAACACACGCACCTTTATAATGTTAATGTAAACAAAAACCCACAAGCACTTTTATAATGTCAGTGTAGCACAAAACAAAAACAAACCCAACTCCTTTTTCTAACCACAACTAGTGAAATATCTGGTTTACAGGTGAAAAATTAGTTTTTAAAAAAAAGTCACAACTGCAACACAGTTACATTCTGAAGATTCTTATCTTGGTGCTTCTTGTGAGCAGTATCCACACTGCTACACCTTTGTCATTGTACTGGCTGGCTCCCAGCCAAATGTTAGTACTATAAAGTCTGAAAGATGGAGGACAATTGCAAGCACTGAGTGGACAAGTCTGATTGCGTGCAAACTCTGGAGGTGGGTCCCAGCTCCAGAGCAATGGGGCCTTCGTAAGGGAGGATCTAAATGCACCTAAAATCAGAAGTTGTACACATCCTAGACACCACCGATGACATTGTCTTCATTGTTATAAGCAGTTTACTCAAGTTTTAGTTTCATTTCTGCATTGCTTCAGTCTGCACGATTTAAAATTAGATTGTGCTCACAGAAACGATTGAAAGACTTCCTCTATTTCTGAGGCAAGTCCAGAAGGTGGTCAGCAGTAGCAGCCCCTGTATTTCCCTCATATCAAGTTTAAAGAGCAATTGCAGGTACCAGTGGAACCAATCTGGTAACTGCTAATGCTATCCGAAAAGATGGCAACGGAGTGAACACATTTCAACTGCATCACAGTCACTACATAAAAGGTGAAAGTCTTTAATCCGAGCTCTGTGTAACCCACTAGAGTTGGATTCCAGATTGCTGTGCTAAGAAGGTATGTTTCCGGGAACCTGTGAAACATCCTCTCTCTGCTTGCATGATCAGATTCAACATTCCAAGGTAGATCTGAATTTGGTGGCAGAGAGAAACCTTCCTTATACTGCACTAAGATACATCATGCTTTATATAAATATACCCATTATAAGTCCTTGCTGTCTTTTATAAATACTTCTACATTATGTTACTTAAAAAAAAGGGGGGTTCCCAGCACAGACCGTTAACAAAAAGGGACTGGGGTACCAAGCAGGTAGGCTGTAAACCATGTATGCATCAGTATAAAAGGACAACTTCAATAAAAAAAAAAAAATCCACCCAGCCTCCCTCAATCTACTTCTAAGGCCTACTCAAGTCTATGGGAGGTTCGTGCGCAGGCAGCTCTTCAGAGATTTGGACAGTTGCAAACAAAAATGTTATACCGTCCCTCGTACAACCCTGCCTCCAACCGTCATGTTTTGTAAGCAAGCAGTAAACTAGGACAGAAAACAGTGTGGGGTGGAACCTGTGTTCTTCAATGGAATCTAGAAAGATTTTACAGTAAGTACAAGTTCTTGGTCATGTGGGACGTCCCAAAGCAGTCCAACTGAAAAATGAACACAAGCCACGAAGAGTTTCAATATAGATGTGGTATCTTGCTACAAGCGCAGAAGGAATCAACACCTGAACAAGGGCTAGATGGAGAAGACTCAACCAAATAGAAAAATCATCAGTACCAAGGGAATGACACCAAGGATGGACCTGGTGTTCCAGACCAGAACAGATGATCCTAGAAGGTAAAACTAACTACCTGAAGGAGAAGGAGCAATGGGTCTCATCTAGTAAGTGCAGGGCAACCAATCATAAAACTAGTGGGCTTAAAGCTTATGAAATCAAACAGGTAAACCAAGAACATGAACAGAAGAAACAGACTAACCAGCTTAAAGTGACATTAAACCCTCAGATTTTTTAACATAAAACAATACTGTAGTGTGTGCCTTATAGTAATCCATGGTTTCCCTTCTTTGCTGCTCTTCCTTTTAAATCTGTATCTGTTCTCATGCTCTGCAGAACTTCTGTTTTGCAGCAGACTGCCTTGTCTCAGGAATGGATACACGGTGTCTGTGTATAGGTTTGTATAGGCTTGTAACCTGAGCCAGCACTACAGGAAGAGGCCCTGAGCTGCAAAGGGAAGTTCTCCCCAAGCATGAGAAGACATGAGGATTTAAAAAGGAAGAGCAGCAAAGAGAAGGGAAACTACCATGGATTACAGTAAGGCACACATTACAGTATTGGTTTATGTTAAAAAATCTGAGGGTTTAATGTCACTTTAAGGTGGAATGAAGGTCCTTGCCTTAAAAGGAACCCCAGTTGCTTGTATGCACTGCATATTAACCCACAATGGCAATCTTAGCTGCCAAAGCAATCCCCCTCCAGGACTGTGATGTCAGCACTCTCCCCACCCTCCCCATTGGCACTTCCAAATTTCATCCCAGTCTTCCTTTTGGTTTCAAGTCTTCAGCCTGGTGGTGTTTTGCCCCATCTACAGAACTTCTGCACTGAGCTAGATGTACACTCTGACAACAACAGGTATCAGGGAAGATATCTTCAAGGACAGAACATCTACGCTTAAAAGGTGCCGTAAACTTTAACGTTCCTTTTACCTTAGATGCTGCCAAGAGAACATTGCAGCTGTAAAGAAGTGCTTTTCACAGGTGTTCCAAAAGCTCAGGGGTATGAGAGTTTGACCCCGAGATGGTCTCTTAAGAGAGTTAATCCACTCTGACATGGATGCTCAAAATTGGAGTCACTGCCAATAAAGGCCAGACAATTATACTAAATAACTCAAACTGACACCTTAGAATGGAATCCAATTGACAGTCGATGAAATCCTTAAAGGAAAGATCAACTTGGTTTGTTCATTGGGATGGATGACTGGAGCGTCTACAGTGGGCAGAGACTACTTTAACAATCAATTCCCTGTTAAGGGGAAAAAGCTAATTTGCATTTTCAGGAGGGAGCCATGACTCCACAGGTTGTTTCCTGTTCTCAGAAAGGAAAATCTTCCAAACAAAATGTAATGGGAAGGTCTTGGAAGCCACAGCTCTTTAAGACCCCATGCTTGGAAAAGCAGGCTGATCCCCTAACAGGGTAGAACACACTGCACAGATCAAGAACTTGTCCTCAGGGCTTTGTGGAAACCCACTGGGCATCTGGCCTTTGGTAGAGTAGCGCTGCTGGGGAGGGGGATGAAGTATTACTAGCATGATGGTTGATGGGTGGACATTTGCAATATTTGTATACTATTATGCATTTGGTTGGGGATTAATGTCTATTGTATTGGTCTCATCAAAACACTTTTAATATAAGCATGTGGTCCTGAAGAAGCAGTTTTAGCCACAAAACATGCAGAGCAAGAGAGAATTGGTGGTAAAAAAAAAAAAATTAACCTATATGGCACTTGAATAACTAAGCAACAGTTTGGTGGCAACATATTACAATTTTATATTTTCTATGTTGTTGATGTATAATTTACTATTGCCAGTGTTAACTAATAACTATAAAGCCATAAAATATTTGTAATCTTTGACAGGCTACATATGTCAACGGGGATTTCTTAGGATATAACTACATAGAACAACTGCATTCAAGGTACACAAGACTACAGAAAGCGGAGACTGGAAATAGTGGATTGTCTAACTGCGCTTGCTGAAAGAGCGACCAAAAACTGGAGACTTGGGACGTTATAGGAAACGGACAGATCAATCCAATAACAGTTCCTTTACAAATCAATTCTCCCACATCTGCGCGCCATACAGCATCCATACAAATTACTGATACTACATTTGATACGCTTTTCAGCAAGATCCATTGTAAAAACATAAAAAAAAGACATTGAAGGTGCATTCAAACCATGTTGAAAAACGCATGCCAACAGATCTGGTGTAAATGGGGCATAAGCCTCCATTCATACCTAGGCGACAGCATTTCAACGTCTTATAACAAGCGCAACTGCACGCACATCAGCGCACGTTTGTTGGTGTTTTTGAAAGCATCTTTACACACATTTCCAGCTGATTGTGCTACAAAATGCTTGCGCATTTATAGGCATTTCCATTGAAACCTATGGGGCCAAAAGCACAGAAATCTACAGAAAAGTAGCTCAGGTACTTTCTCCAGTGACAGGCTTTTTGCTACAGAACACTCAGATGTGAATAGGGGCCATACAAAACAATGGGAATATTTGTGTTCAGTTTTGAGCTAGGTGTGAACACGGACTACAAGAGCCTAAATAAAAAACCGGAATGGACAGAAAAAGAAAAAGAAAAAAAAAAAAAAAGGACCAAAACCATTTCACTAGCAGAAGCCACTTTAACCTCTTGCCGTCCGCCCGTAGTAAAAAAACAGACGGATGGCACTGCTGCATTTTGCAGAAGTGATGTGTATTACATCACTTCCGCATTCACCTGTCAGTCATCTTGGCTGCTATAGCCAGAGAGAAGAAGCTGATGAAGCTGATGAAGCAGAGATCTGCTTTTTTTGGGGTCCACAGGTGATATTAGGGGTCCTAGAGACCCCTAATGTCTCCATAAAGAGGACCGTCAGTGAGCCTTTTCTATTATATAGGGGGATTGTTATCCCCCTATATAATAATAGCAATAACAATAAGTGCTAAAAAATAAATATAAATAAAAAAAATGTAACATAAAAAAGTAAAAAATAAAAGTCTTGAATACTGAAAAATGGCCTGGATGGGAAGGGGGTTTAACACCGCGGATGTCAACTGGTTAATGAACATTTGACTTAACTAACCTCAGTTAGTAGACAAAACTACTACTGGTTCCCAAGGGTCACACAAGTACCAAAGGGTTGCATGTGGCCCTCCAGGGACTAGTGTTACAATATCTATATGGCCACTGGAGAAAAAAACACTTGGCAAAATGCCACAAAAATAAAAAAAAAGGTTAAAAAAAAATACCACACAGAAAGTTTTTGTTACCTTCCTTTCATTGAAAATACAGTAATACCTTGGTTTACGAGCATAATTCGTTCCGGAAGCATGCTTGTAATCCAAAGCGCTTGTATATCAAAGCGAATTTCCCCATAGGAAATAACAGAGATTCAGATGATTCATTCCACAACCCAAAAATATTCATATACAAATGATTACAATACTGTACTGTAATATAATACTGTACAAAATATAAAGGAAAATAAACCAATTTCCGGTTACCTTCGTGGCTGGTGTGAGGGGAACAAGAGAGAGGAGGATTATTGTGTAGGACAACTTTCACTATTACTAACGGGATCACTGCTATCTCTTGACTCAAAGGAATCTTTTTTTATTTCGTGAAACCTTAAGGAATCTATCCAATGTGACATTGCATTGTCGTTAGACTCATCGCTCGCACTGCTACAGCCTTATTCGGTGGTGCTTGTCTACAAAATTTTGCTCTTATTGCAAGACATTGCTTGTATATCAAGGCAACATTTTTCAGAAATGTTTGCTTGTCTTGCAAAACACTCTCAAACCAAGTTACTTGTAAACCAAGGTATTACTGCATATTAGAAAGGTCATCAACAAAAGTGGGTGAAGTCTTACCCACAGTAGCCTTCAGAAACGCGCGACGGCCGCGCGACTTTACCGCGAATCACGGTAAAAAACGCGTGACAGACGCGCATATGCAATAAGCCTAGGTGTGAACGAGACCTTAGTATAAAATCTGCCCAGGGAGGTATTAAAAAACATTGTCAGATCACGTTTGTAAACGAAATGAAGCAAAACAACAATATTGGCCAGTTATAAATAACCCCCAAGTATCTTAGCAAGACTACAGCAATGAATGAATATAATAGAAAACTGGTTATCAGGTTTTCCAGGAATATCTTCAATGTTGTTAGTTCATGATAAGTTTAATTTCAACCTACTAGGCCTTAGGATGCCATGGCCTAGTCCAGTCATTATTGGCCTGCTAAGTTTCTATTGCACTCTCCTGGCCATGAAGCAGTTAAATTTAGAGCAGCAGAAAAGGTCTTTACTTCCTCTTCATCAGACATGGCTGGGGTATTCAGAAATGTGTTGCAGCACACCCCCGCTCCTGTCTAGACACACTAGGTCCACCACCTCCACACACTTCTGTTTCATCACCTCAAAGCTTTCCTTTACTGGCGACTGTTAACCATTAAAAGTAGATGAATAATATGTATACAAATGTCATGTGGATATGATAAAACTATGGGGACAAGTGTATATTTATGAATTCTACAGCAACTTACATGCAATGCTATTATTCAATCTGAAGGCTGCTGCTCCTTTATTTCAAGGATGACAAATAACTTCCCTAGCCCATTCCATTATCCTTTCCTGACAAAAAGTAAATTCCATAAAGAGGTGTTTTACCTACTCAGCCTACATAGCACTGGCAATATTGAAAAGCCTGGGGACAGTGTGCTAACTAATCGATTTTTAAAATAATCGTTAGCTGCAGCTCTAGACGGAACCTATCTTGGCACATGCACCCAATATTGCCCTCTATGGCTGGACCCTGAGCATGTACTCTGAATGGAATGGCATGGCTTTTTATCCAATGAGTATAATGGAAAGCCCACCAGCTTGCAAAGAGATAGAACTTCAATTACCCTCCATACATGCAGGTACACACTCCCATTTATTGGGCGTTTGCAGTAAATTTTGATTTTATATGGGAACGTCAGTTACTGGAACAGTTCCGGCCAGAAAAAATGCTGCCACTTTGGGCTGGGTCAGAACACCCCGATACAAACATTAATCCCAGCGCAATGCAGAATAAGACTACCTATTCACAAGTGAGACAATCTTCTTCTAAGTAGACCTAGTTTGATTATAGCTAGAACAAAGGCATGCAGGAACCACCAGCCTAATGACGCGATTTACCATGGATGGCATTTTGGTGCCTTTGTATAGCTACACATCCTGTTAGAAAATGAAGGAAGTTGTTTAGACAATGCAATCTGGGTCACATCTAGTTCACTTGCAGCCATTTGGTTACAAAAAAAGCAAAAAGGTACAATTATTATTTTTTTCTTAACAGAAGGAGGAAAAAATATGTACAATAGCAATTCATAATTGAAGAAATGGAAAATGAGATTTCTGAGCAGCTCAACAGTCCCACATATCATCACCCTGTAGAGTTATACTAGACAAATGTGCACACAGATGAATCCATTTAAAAATGCAAATGTGTAGTCTTCTACAAGCTAGCACTGTTCATATCTTTGTGTGAGAACTGCTGCGTCAGCGTTCCAACATGGCAATAAAGAGATATGATCAGCTGGAAGACAGCGATAACAGGAGTGAAGAGAGGCACTTTTAACTGAACAAGTTACAGCCGAATTTCAAACAATGAGCTAAACAAATGTTAAATACAACTATGGGAACTCTTCTGTCAAAGGACATGCATCTCTATCCACCCAGTTGATAGAGTAACGCAGATCTGCCAGACAGCACGGGCACGTTTGCTCTCTATTGCGGTTAAGCAATTCTGCTTAGTGATCACCCTGGAACCAGATGTTAACTAGACAGTGAAGGAATAGGAGTCAGTCAGTCTCATGAGCTCCTCCCTCTGCTCTCTATCAGCATGCTTCTTGACATTAAGGTCTCGTTCACACCTAGGCGTATTGCATATGCGCGTCTGTCACGCGTTTTTCTTAACCGCGATTCGCGGTAAAAAAGTTGCGCGTTTCCGAAGGCTACTTGGCTGTATCCCAATGGAAACGCGCAACAAAACGGCCCAAAGTAGTACCTGTACCTTTTCAGGCGTGGGCCGTTTTGTAGCGCGTTAGGGACGGGCGGAAATACGCCAAGGTGGGAACGAGACCATTGAATACAATGGGATTTATATTTTTGAGCGTTTTGTAGGGCGTTCGTCGAGCGTAGAACGCGCTACAAAGCGTTCAGGTGTGAACGAGGGCTAAATGTTCATATAGAACACATGGCTGTATTCTAGTGCTGGTCCTTACTCTGACTTCTAATGTTCAGGGTATTACATTATCTAATGTTTGGGGCTAACAGTAAGTATAGATTAGGCACTTAAACTAATTGCATTAAAAAACAAAAATGATTTTTAACAAAAATATTACTACATTGATGTCTGTGCCAGCGAATGTAGACATGCTAACCCAATCAGCTCCTCACATGGGAACCACATTTGTATAAAATTAAAAACACAAAATACATTTTAGGAAAAGGCACAGACACTTACCTTACAACATCATCTATATTGTTTCTGTATACACCTTCAAGTCTTTCTGCTGGAAATCCCATGGCAATTATGTTTGGATAAATATCTAAAGATTTCTGTCAAGGTAACTAACAAAATTACATTGATGAGCTAAAATAGGGAAGAACATTTTCATTACCGAGCCAATAAACAAAAGCAGAGGGAGAACCATGTTTATAAAAAAACAACTCATCACTTATAGAATGATACAATTAAAAGGAAACTTGTCGAAACAATAAAGGCTGCTGCTCATGTCCTTCTGAAAATTGTACATGCCTGGCTGTTTCTAGATTCAATGTCTTCTACATCACTGGCCCTGAACACATCCAGCAAGTTAAAACAGGGAGGGGGATAGATATATACACAAAAAAATCCTGAAAATAACAAACCAGCCAAAACTCATGCCCACAGACCAAAAAAACTGTGTAATGGGCTTAATGATTTGTGAACACTGTCAACACACAAAGCCCTTACCTTACCAGATGATCAATGGCTAGAAATGAGTCCCAAAACATAGTTTCACTCTATTACTAGTTGCTTAGCAGTAGGGATGAGCTCAGGTTCGGATAAGACTTGGTCCAAACCCAAGTCCCACACAACATGGAAGGAAGCTTCTTCCGTGCCGCCCAATCAGCTGCAGGCTGAGAATTTCCTGTTTGCAGCGTGATGTAAACAAAGGAGCGGGGGCGCGGTGACATCACTGGCCCTATTGGGATACAGGGCTATGTTAGATAAATTACATTTACCCAATAATACCATGTGGCAACATAAGGTGTATGACAGGGATGGCCAAACTGCGGTCCTCAAGCTATAGTGGCTATGAGGCTTTGCAAGATTCTCACAACACCAGACATGACTCCCAAAGAGAGATGCTTCATGGGATGTTGTGGTTTCACCACAGCTGGAGGGCCAGAGTTTGGCCATCCCTGGTGTATGATGTCAGTACAAGCATTCTGCCCCCGTTTATGGTTAGCAGAGGTGGGACATGCCTCAACCCAAAGCTGATTGAGCGGATGGCCCATGTACCTTCTCTATGTATAAGCTCAGTGCGAACCTGTGCTGATCCCTACTTAGCAGCAGTGCTAACAGACCCTGAAGTAGTAAGCAGAGTGCAGAGACTGAAGAAATGTAAAGCCCAACTGAAGTTTAGTTTAAATTCCAGATGCATTAAACAAAAAGGTGTGCTAGAGGAGATGCAGAGTTTTACCTCTTACAAGTTACGAACGGCATTGTCATTTAAAAAAAAAACTGCAGCCAAATCAATAAAAAGTTGGGACAGGAACCGGTCTTTAGCGCTTCGCTACCCGAGCAACTTTTTTTTCCGCACACATTAAAAATCTGAATTTTAAGCTAGAAAATTACTTCAAACTCCAACTATTGATTTTTCGGAACGCACAGGCCATATACAACAGTGGTAGTTGCAACTTTTTATGTCGCATGATATTTGTACAACTATCAAATCTATACGGTCAGTAAAAAACACAAAACATTTTAGTGCTTTCCAATGTCTTTATAACAATCATAGATAAAGGTTATGTTGAGTATATGGAGTATATAGATGCCAAATATGTTAAGCCTCAAAACTGAGCTCCCGCAAACCCAAAATAATCAACACATGATTTCAATGCTTTTATAGCTCTTCTATTCAGCATTATCCATAAAATACGGACCTAGAATTATTTCTTGCACTCCAGCATGCACTGTGATGTGTGTGTGTTTAAATGTGCATTTGCGTTCGTATGTGTACATGTGGCCTGATGAGGGGATTGAAAAACCCTTGATTTTTTCTTGTTTTACCCAATTCAGGGCAGGACGCAGGGACATTCATCTAGAACCCTAAACTGATTAAATACACCATGTAATTTGTAACAGATGATCAATTCTTTGAAAATATGGTATCTAATGACTACAAGATTATACCGGGGGGAAAAAAAGCGAGAGAAAACGAGTGCCAGCTTACCAGAACAAACATTGTGACATAGATCGGGGTGGACAAATCCATATGGAATTCAGGAGCCAGAAGGATATATTTTTTTTTTTTGGAGCCAGCTCCATTGACAACTAGACAAAACCTCAACAGTTATGTGTCAGATGTAATTAAGAAACATTGACAACCTGGCTCCTGGGATTTGCCCAGCCATAGATGAACATTTCCAATGCTCAATAAGGTTTCAGCTGAAATGATGAGAAATATTTATCCACCTACAATAACAAAACACAATAAAAGGAATCTGGTATGACCTATACACTAATATACCTTTCAACAGAACCGCTGTGTTAAAACCTGTATTGTTATAGCAAAATGTTCTTCACACCTATACTCAAATCCAAACTGAGTGTTTTGCAGAGGCTGCGATAGGAGGAGGAATGGTGGGGGAATGCTGTAAAGGCAAGTATCAAGTGGCCATGTGAGACACTAAGAGACCCTGTCACCATGCCCATTCAGGGAAGAGAGTGATGTGGTTGGTTTCAAGTTTGAGGTTAGAAAAATGTTTATACAGGTGGCCAAATCGTATTGAACAATCCAACAATTCAGCATGCTCACCCCAAATCCAATGGATTCATAACATTTGAATAGAGCTCCGAAAAAACATCGACTGGATACTTTAGAATTTGTGTCAGAACAAATTTCAAAGTAGGCAACATACATCACAATCCAATAGCACAACCACATGAAGGTTTATGAAGAACCATGCAGTGATTTACACAAGACCAAAAAGAAAAAGCTACAGAGTATATTATGTGTGTGTAAAGATAGCATCAGTAGTCGTGTTAAAATAAAAAGCTGAAAACTGATGTCCAATCAGAGGTCACATTTTACAGTTACACCAGATCAGAAAGAAAAAAAATACTTATAACTTTTCCATCATTCTGAAACTATTTAAAGGAATGTATGTGTATATTTCATTGCAAAGTACTGGGAGAGCAGAAACAAGGACATAATCCTCGCCTTACCTGCTTACTGACAAGTGAAAGTTGTAATATGCGCAATGCCAATTTGATGTTACTCAGAATCAGAAGCATCCTAAAACAACCACATTACTAACATACAAAAAAAATACATTGATCCGACGCTGAACCAGTAATGAACTCCTCAGGTTCTGCAGAGAGAGACGTTTGAGTACAAGCACAAGGGATATAAAGCAGTGTCTGTTCTCAGTCATGGTGCAGACTTTCAGCAGTATCTCCTCTTTCAACAGTGAACACTTTGTGCTTAGGATACCACAGCTAGGCCAAGGAAAACGCCTTTGGTATTTTCAGCATAGGGGATATATTCATGGTGTCTGCCAAGCTCATTTCTGAAGTGACTGTACTTGAAAAAAAGCACTGCTATACTCTAAACTTCAAATCCTGGGGCAGGAAATAATCCTTTTTGGCTTGAAACTCTTATAGAAATGTTCTTTGAAGAATGCCTGTTTCACTCAGTAAGCAATGGAGAGAGCACTTGTAGATCATACATTACAAGGTTGGGAAAAAGGAATTAAAGAGACCTGAACACAAAAAAAAACAAAAAAAAAAAAAA